ATATGACGCATTGATATTTAGTTACTCTCTCCGTCCCTGCTGGCTTGCCCGAACCCCAAGAGACGTGGAAACTACAAAAAAGGTAGACGCTTAAATATGATTGCAGGGCCCCTTTAAAGAACGTGGTTATATACGCATTTGAGCATTCGACCGCAGCGCCCTCTCCTCTATTCGCAACTCCAACGCCCTATAGGTGGCGGGGCGGTAGTTCCAAGATGGCGGAAGAAACGGGGATAGATTCTCCAGGATATCCCGTGCGCATGCATACTCGCTGACGCTGTTCAGCGCGCTACAAATGATTTATTTTTCTACAAATGTGAAGCAGTTAGGGAGGGATCATATTACAGGTGACAGAGATTCTGATGCACGTTAGGAAAACGAGCATGCTGTTATTTAGAAGTTGCAGAAACCTCAAATTGCGAAGCTTTGAGGTGAGCGAGCGCGTTTTAGGCACCGGCCACGTTACTGTTTGTGGCAGAATATTTTTTAGGGTGAAGATATCGTGTTTGCCCTTTGCCTGGCCATTAGTGCTCTAAAAGAGAGCCGCGAACGGTGACCGTCAAGCTTCGGAAGAGCAGCGTTCACAGTATTGATGTCTTCGTGCCACAACCTCAAAACTCGCTGCTCACCGTCTCGGTTTTAATGTATTGCAGCACGTAATCAAACTGCTCTCTGGTTATTGATAGAAGGTTTTTTTTTTTACCGCAGGCTACCGTGGGCAGTGGCGGATCCAAGGGGGGGGCGGTGGGGGCGATCGCCCCCCCCCCAAACGCCTCGCCATTTTTTTTTTTTTTGTGGAGCCATTGCTTTTTTCATTTTTTGTTTTTTTGCTCGCTTTTGAAGCACATCCCTTGGTACGCCAAAAAGTGTGGCGGTAACGCGAAGGGAATGACGCTGTTGCTTCACTTTCAAGAGCATTCGTAGTGTTACTTATGCGCCATGAAGCCCCTGTTGTCTTTCTTTTGTACGTTTTGATCCTCCTAGACACCGAGAGGAAAATATGACTCAGGAACAACCAGGAAACTGGTACATTATTGACACACGCGTCATACAATGCCACATTGTCGCGTTTTGTCTCGCGCGTATCCCGTTACGTGAATAATTATTTCCGTAAAAAAAAACAAAAAAGCACGCTGAACTCTCAAATTTGGTCTGCATGAAGCTAATAAAACTTAGGAATGAAATTAAATTATACCTTGGTAGAAAGTCTGTGCCAACCGGGGCGTACTTCTCGAAGCGAAATCTCGCGCGGAATTGTGCACCTCTTTGACGGGCGGTAAACTCGGCAATCTCAAATCGGCATTTCTTTTTCTCCGGAAAGGACTTGCCAAAGGCAGTCATTTATGGCTCACGCAAAGTGAACAGGCTAAGGCACGTCTCAGTGAAGCTTGAAACTTGTGTCTAGGTGATAGCAGGCACTAAACAAAAACTTTCGTTGGGTGCCTTCACTCTAACTGTCGCATTTTTCCCCGCGTCTCATTTGGCCCATCTTACCCTACTTCACGTTGGACAAACGCAATCTATTAGTTTTGGAGCTTCCCCCACACGAGTGTTCGTGCTGTCGAGGTGTTTTTTGACATATCAGTAGTAGTAACCAGGCATTATGCGCAGCTTTTATCGGCGCCCAGCATGCTCGGGCCCACAAGCGCTTAGTTTCGAAAGCATACACTGTAAAAAGTAACCGTCAAATTTACGGCGCTATACGCTAATAAAAACTACAAGTACGCCGTGAAGAGGAATTATCTGAAATGCACCGTAAACGAGCAAAAAAACCGAGAGGGAAACGCAAAACTTCATGGAGCAAGAAAACAGAAAGAAAAGACGCGCTTCGCTAATTGGTCACCACGCTTGACCTTTCGGAAGTTGCGGGAACCCAGAGAGTCTCCTCTCGCCCCTTCACCTCCTTTCTTTGTCCGCGCCAGTCGCGCCAACGCAGAACGTAACTGCCTTAACTGAAAAAAGAAAAAAAGAGAACTAAGAGCAAACAGTAGAGCAACAATGCGACGAGCTAGAAGCATAAACAAAAGAAAGGAACGTTGGTTGGGACAACGCGGAAAGAAGTGGAAAAAGCTGACGTTCAGTTAATTTTCCCGCCTTCCGACCCGTCTCCGCGCCATTTTGTCCTCGTTCGTTTGTGGCATTCCCGGATTTTTGTGCACCTGAAAATTTGGAGCGGAAGGCAACTGGATACTCGAGGCAGGTATTTCACTATCAATCTGCTGCTTGATTGGCAAGGATAGTGTAATGGTGGCATAAATACAACACTCTAAAAGATGTTTACTTGCAGAATTTGTAGTTTCTGTTCAAGCACGCTTGATGGTTGTGCCATTCGATGAGCACATTTTCAGCTCTCGAATTCTTCCGTGTGTGGACGAAGGATGCTGTCGCCAGTTTGTTACGTATGATGCTCTCAGGTGTCATATTTTGAGAAGACATAGGCATTGGTACGCCTAAGGGAAGTTTGGTTTGTTTCGAGGAGTTTGGAAAGCTTTCAGTGCACTTTGCCACCATGCCTAGAGGAGTGCCACACAAGGGAGGCTTTGCTAAAACATCTAAAAGGCCACATCACCGACAGTATTTTGTTTTCGTGTTCGTGCTCCAACTGTCAGAAGGTGTGAAATCATAGTTCGATCACGGCACATTTGAACTGGGCGCATTTACGAGTGACGGGTTTCTTGGGCGACGGCGCATCGCCTGCAGGCCCGCTTCAGGTTGAGGACTCTTCGACTCGGTCGACTAGTGCGGATTCTAATGAAGACGGTGCTGTTAACGTGATGAAATCCCCTAATGATAACTACGACGTGTTAATGTCTCTGTCTGCAGGAGAAAAAAGGAAGGCCGTAAAATGCGATCTTGTTTTTTTTTTGTTTTTTTTTTGTACCTGAAGTTTAACGGAACGCTTCTTATGCCGGTATCAACAGTTCAAAAAACCATTTATGAATTTCAACGTCGGCATTTCTTGTACAAACAATACATGTTCGGCCAACTTGCTGAAAGCCTTCAAAACGTGCTTGGTTCAGTCGAGGTTCATAACATCATTGAGTTCGTAACATCACTATACAATGATGTTATGAACCTGAATACTACCACTTTTCTCGCCGTTTAAATTGCACCGTAAAAATAACGGTGCGCTGTAAATTTTTTTTTTTTTTTTTACCGCAAATCTGAAGGCCGATTGTAGATTTCTACGGTCCCCGTTTAAATTCATCGTAAACCAGATTTACAGTGCACCGTTATTTTTACTGTACAAGTTTGGCAGCATCAGCTGCCTGGTATTTGACCGTAAATTTTACGGTCAAATTTACAGTCAGGACGCTACAGTGTAGCGTCCTGACTGGTGCCCCATACGAGCAGGCACGTGTGGCGTGCACGTGAATATAGCTTTGGTGGGCTTGCAATTGCACGTGATTTTCCGCACGAGCAGAGACATTGCGTTGGCCAGATGCCCAGCTTTCTGAGGCTATGCAGTCAAAAGTACGGGAGCGTGTGCCTTGGTGTGCATAGCCACAGAAAGTTCAAAGAGTTCATCCCCTAAAGGTAAACCGATACAAAAGCTCTCAAGATCTATATTATGTTATCAGAGTTTAGTAAAAACGATGGCTCCAGAAAAAATATAAACACTCCCCCCCCCCCCCCCCCCCCCCGTTTTACGCCGAGGAACCGCCCCCCCCAAAATGGAGGTCTGGATCCGCCCCTGACCGTGGGGTGTAGCATTACAACCGCAAGCTTGCGCTGAACCTTTGAAGCACAATTTTCTGTGCACGCCAGGAGCGTTGCCGTACTCATCATTCTAAAAAAAATCTTGAACTCCTTACACCCCTTTGTCACATACACGACACTCGAAAACTTCAGTTCGCCGTGCAGCCCACTGACGTCAGACTGACGGCCCCAACTTTTACGAAAGGCTTGCTTGATGACGGTGCAATATAAGATATTAAACAGCTCAACTACGCATCAAAGAATACAGCAAAAAAACCAAAAAAAAAAACACCGATGTTTTGCAGTAGGGCCAAGAAAACCCTGATTACTTTTTTTTTTTTTTTAGGTCGTTTACATTTATTTAAGCTATTTTAATAAGTTGCACAACTCGGCTCAAGCCGCTCGTGAAAGTTGGTAGCGCCGGTTGAAACGTCAGTGCGCTGTACGTCCAACTGAAGTTTAGGGGTGTCGTACGCTATGCAAAAACTGCCTATTAACATAATCGGCGTGTTTAGGGGTTTTATTGATTGCTCTATCAAAAATAAATATTTTAATGTACCGTACATTTTTTGTACCGTGTTATTTGCAACATTGCGGTCCCTCTGGCCAAAACTGCGCGTTCTAAGCTCTCCTCACGAACGGTTGGCTAACACAGACGGGCTTGAAATGCTTCGAGCATTTCTTTATTTGCTTTGTAATTACCTGAAAGCAAGTACGGGTATTCTGTCTTTTTAAAGTGCTTGGAATAAATGGTCATATTCCTTGTAACAGCCTTAAAACGCGAATCCATTCCCGATTTGTACTGCTCGACATACCCGTTGCGCGACGAGTTTTCTCCTACTTATGGCAAAGAATAGACTTTCCATAGACTGTACTATAGAGTTCTTCAATATTAGCGGGAACGTTTTCCGTCACGTTGAGCACCGATTGAGCTGGCGGCCATGCACAAGACCAGAAATCCGCAGCGTATGCGATACACGAAAGGTCCCTAACGAAATTAGACATCCCGGTCCTTCGTGCAAGGCTTTTGCAAGGCGGAGCACAAGAATTCCTTTTTTTAACGCGCTCATTTTTTTCTTTAAAACGGCTTCACGCATCAGGTCCGACAGTCCCTGCTACCATTTCCGCGCCGACGCCGCCGCTGCCGTCCCCGCTCCTCTGGTTCTCCGTTCGTCCGCGGGAGGGCGAGCGGCGCGCTGGAGTTGCGAATAGACGTTGAGCGGCTACATGCAACGTTTCGTTCATGACAGAAACCCCAGCTCTTGAGTTACTACCACATCTCGGAGCCCCCTATTTGTCCCGCAGTCGTGGCCAAGTGGTTAAGGCGATGGACTAGGAATCCATTGGGGTCTCCCCGCACAGATTCGAATCCTGTCAACTGTGCAAAAATGTTTTCTTTTTATGTGAGCACGGACGCCGGACGGACGGACAAAGCTAGACCCTAAGGAGCTTCACCCCTAAAAGACCATGCGACAATACGTCTCTGCGCTCTTCGGCCGTCTGCTAGCCCAGTGCTCACGTTTTCAGCTATTATGCATTTCAGTGCACTTCAAGAAAGCGCCGAAGTGGAAAATGCGCTGTCACGCTCGCATCTCCTCGAGGAGCGCTGCCTGACGAAGCTCCTAAAAGGCGCCGATCTGAATATCATCGAAAACATCTGGAGGCGCATCAAGGTAGCCATGTCACGGCGCCCCTCCACCGCGCCACTGCCTTCAAATTGTGGAAAGCAATGGGAGGTGAATGGGAGTGGCTTCGGGGCTGAGCCAGACTTCGTGGCCGCGCTCTATGATTTCTTACCAGACCGGATGAGAGCCGTGGTCGCGGGTCGATCAGGGGAGAATGACGCGCTATTAAATTATTTTTAGAAATAATGGAAACAGCGCGCAAACGACAAGGACGGGAGGAAAAGGAGTACACAGGACGAGCGCTTCAGCGCTCGTCCTGTGTACTCCTTTTCCTCCCGTCCTTGTCGTTTGCGCGCTGTTTCCATTATTTCTAAGCATGAACCAACTCGCCCACATCGCTACTCTGATTAAATTATTTTGCAAGTTTTACTGCGCCTCAGGACCCTCTGAACTGGAGTTCTGACGATTGGAACAAAGCTTGATGCTACGGTTGCGACACACTGTTTGACGCCGTTAACCACGCATACTTTTTGAGGGGTGCCTCCTTCATCCCGATCTTCTTGTATAGGGCAGTTGAACTTCCACGCCGACTATTAATCTTATGTGTCTGACAATGTCCTCTGCAAATATTCTTTCGATTAAGTTTCAATCTCCTTCTCTTGACAAATATATGACTGTTTGTCCCACCTTATTAACGTAGGAATTCGTAAACAAAAAACTGGTGTCTTGTCAGCAACTTGTTTTGCTTGAAACAGACACGTGGGCCCAGTAATAAAGAAATAATATCTTTGAACATTTTCATACTAATCAAGGTTACAAAACCTTCTCAGGAACATGTATGCTTACCTTTTTTTTAAAAACATCTGTGATCAATGAAACAGAAAAAAACAAAATACCTTGGAGCCGGACTAAATACGGCATACAGATTTTGGGCTATATTTTACGATGTCCTACTTTGTACATGCACCTATAATCAAACAAAAACAACCTGCAACGTCTTTTGATATGACTTTCAAAAACGTTAATAATAATGATAATAATAATAATAATAATAACTTTATTTTCTAAATGAATTAAAGGGGCAGAAGGGAAAAAGCCTCCAATGGAGGCTTGACGAGCCCGAAGCCCCATACGGTGACAGGCGCAGCAGCACGAGAAGAAAAAAAAAAAAAAAAGAAGCGCATATACATAAGAAAGACAAAAAAACTTCATCAGAATCGCAATTGAAATTTAAGACACTTCAATATTTTAGAGCGCAGCTCTTAGGCGCCCGTTTCCGGCTTGAGCGGCGTTGCCGTTGGCGCAACCAAGCTCACCCCAAGGTCACGTGACCCCTCCCAAGGTCATGTGACCTCTTCCAAGGTCACGTGACCCCCAGGTAACGTGACCCCCGAGATCACGTGGCCCCCCTCCCCCCCCCGAAGTCATGCGACACCCTCCCCCCCGAGGTCACGTTACCCTCTCCCCCCGAGGTCAGGTGACCCCCGGGGCATGTTAAAGAATGAGGGGAGGAGGAGGAGAAGGAGAAGGAGGGGGGGTCTACCCTCCCCTCAGTACCCTTCCCTCCTCCTCCTCAAGAGCTGCGCTCCAATTCGGCGTTACAAGGAGTTGTAAACGCCTTTCACTTTTTTTCTTCACCAGTCAGCGTTTTTTCTACTGGATTTTGCGTGATAGAGCAAAGTTAATCGATACCAAAAGGGGGGACAAGTGTAATCTTTTGTTCTTCCCGCCGCCCTACCACACATGCCCGCTGTAGCACCCGCCGTCTCGCTTGCAGACAGCCGGAAGAGCGCAGTGGCGTAGCGAGCGCAAGTGAGAAAATGATCCCGGACTCGGGGTGCGCCATGTGTGTGGAGCAAGGCGACAGGCGGCGCAGGTAGTACCGTGCGCCGGCCAGAGCGCTGTTTCAGCTCATATTGTCCGCGATAGTACCAATAGTACGTCGCCGTTGACTTTAGTGCAAGATAGTCATTCACTTTGTGATACAAGATTCAGCCCTTATTCTTGGAATCTTTTGTATATGTCCGTTGATTTTCGTGCAACCTAGTCATTTACCTTCTGATAGTTGATATTCAACTTTTAGAGTCTGTGCCCTAATAGTTTTGTGTGTCTCACTGTTGCCTTTTGTGCAGTAGAAGCAGAAGCTCCGTCTTTGCAAATTCTAGAGCCCATCTCTTTGCTTGAACATAAAGAGGGTTAAAGTAGGACTTCACCAATACCAATATTCCGTAGGATAACGCGAGAAAACGAATTTTAAACTGAATAAAACAATAATTAAAAACCACCTCGTGGATGTCTGTGAAGCTTCGATGGAATGTCGTGACGACAACATGCCCGTAAGAGCAGCGCCACAACGGGAAGAACAATCACTCATAGGCATTACTTAGGCCTCAACGTAGTACCGAGGCGCTTTGGTGGAGAAAGCAACAGCAGAGTTGGCCACCGTTCGTTTTAGTATCGGGCAGTCTTTCCGGAAACGCTTCTTTGGGCTGGTTTGGAGATTGTGTACGTGCGATGTAATATTCACGCTACGAAATGTCTGTTTAAAACGGGCCCGCATGCCCACCTTTCCTGATTACGAGATAGCTGCCTTCGTCGACCGCAACTGATAACGAACTCGATCGCTAAAAGGAGACGGCCCGTACCGCTCTGTAAAGCGGCGCGCATGTAAACAAATCTTTGCGGCGCTTTTCGGGGATGCGGGAGAGAGCCAACGTCCAGGAAGACACGTTTGGAGTAAAAGAGTGTCAGCGTTCTTGGTAGCCACTTCGGGAACGGTCTTTTACAACCGATTTTATGAACCGCTGGGCCTCTAGACAATCGCAACTCGATGCTGACGAGACGCTCGGCAGAGAAAGATTGGACCGGCATCGAGTCGCTCCCAAACACTGCTCTAACTCGACATGTGTTGGCGTATCATGTCGAAATAAAATGGACATCTAAACAAAAGTGTACGTACCCATGTCGTGAAGGCAATTCATATGGCGTTTATTTGAGCTCCATAACACACACACAAAAAAGGAGATAGAATTTATAGGGGTGTCTCCTTTTTCGACGAAACATGGTCACCGCTGCATCTGAAGGGACGACGGGGGGAGAGACTGACCTTCTTACCTCAAATTAGAGGTCAGGGATCAAACTATTCATACGAGGAAGGTCCACAAAGGTCGCGTGGGCGTATTCCATTCATCAAGCCAGCCGGTCGTGTGCAGATGGTCTTGCCCCGGATCGTCGAAGTGTTTTGCTAAGCCTAGCGTCTTCGGTGGTCGCTTGGTCGGTAGGTTCTTGTCGTTGTAGCTTTTTTCAGGTATCCGTGGTTCTTGCGTTTGTCTCCGCCGCGGCGTTCAGTTTCAATTACTTTTTTTTTTCTTCTTTTCTCTCGTTGGGACGCGCACAGAGAGCACATAGAAATGCATGTTGGTCGTCACGACGACGTAAGCGTGCGATGTGGCTGGCGATGTAAATTTGATCACAAAAAGTCCGTAAAGCTTTGTAGCTGTCGTAGGCGTGGCCGTAGGATCTCATCGTAGCGTGCGAAAAACTTGCGATAATTTCGCTTCGTAAATGCGGTACTTTTCTTAGGTTTTGCTGCAAGATCGTTTTGTGAATAAGCTCCGTTACCTGTTGCGGACGATGAAGACAAGACAGACGGGTCGTACAAATACGGCTCTAGGCAGAATCGCTTCTCGGCCATCATGGCCTGGTGATGTAGCGGCGTGGCGGCATCTTCGTTCTTATTAATGTCATCTACCCACCGCTCTCGTCGCGTTGGTCGGCGACCATTCACTTGAAGCCGCTCCGCCGGCTCCGCAATATGCTACTACAGCCCTCGGGTACTTCGACTATGCGAGATTGTAACACGCTGGACGCCACCAAGTGGCAAGACTCATAACTACGGTAAGCTTGGCCCTCCGAGGCATGATGACGTCAAGACCGCGCCGGATCTCCCGAGATGCATCGCGCTCTTCGACGGCTGATTTTGAAGCGCTCGCCGAAATCCGGGCATTTAGAACGAAAAATACAGCCATCCGCTTGAAATAAGACCATGCGATTATCAATTACAGGTTTATCTGATTCCATTTGACTTATCTCTAGGTTTTTCCTGTATATTTCAAGTTTCGATTCAGTATTTACTCACGGGAGCGCTGAAATTTTGTACGCAATTCTAAAACTCCCTACTTTTTGCTTACGCAGATTTAGCGTTCGCCATTCTTAAACTGCTTATTATCTTCACATGCTTCTACATGAAAATTATTGTCACACGGCCGACTATAGGATAAGTGATTGACTTATTATACCAACATTAGGTTGCCCTACCGGAGAAAGGCTTTCAATCAGACTTTACTAAAGCATAAAAAAAAGCATGGAACGACAAAGCTTGTTTAAAATCCTAGTTTTATTAGCAGCCTTCTATCACAGTATATGAAAGGGAAGGAAACAACAGCTTTCCTGAGCCTTTGAAAAACATTGATGCTTTTTTCCTGCAAAGCTAAACAAGCCAGAGCATGTAAGCAGGGTGTACGATTCAAATTCAAACAGCTTTTCTTAAAAGGGTTGAGAGTTAGACCAGTTCCATTTTGCCCATGTATTTATCAAGCTTGACAGTCATTAGATAAGAGCATAATTGCCACGCTATGTTGACCAACTAACTTATATATCTTTCCTTAACCTTTTAATTATTGGTTATAGAGGTCATGTTGGAATTTCAGTATTGATGGAAATTACTATTAGAGGCCAGACCAATTTAAAGAATTAATCTATCAATTTTCACGTTCTTTCGCTTGATTTGGAAGTTGCGTGCAACAGGGCGCATCAAGCCCTGACCACAATGACGCTTGGAAGAGCGACGTAGTCGTTTAAGTCACTTGCGTAGTCTGTGTACCCACCAAGGACATGCTGCCCAGATAGTGACGACATGATTGAGACGACGACGTCACTCTTCCAAGCATCATTGTGGGCAGGGCTTGCAACGCTCTGTGCAAACTAAATTTTTAAACCGGGCAAAAGAAACACGAAAATTGATCAGGTAATATCTTCAACACCACTACCTTTTCGCAAATTATTTCAATTGGTCTCGTCTCTAATAGTAATTGCTGTCAATACTGCAATTCCAACATGACCCTTAAACCATTAATTAAAAAGTTAATTAAGATAATTTAGTTAAATTAGTCAAATTGTTGCGATGATTATCCCTCCATTAATGTCCGCCGAGTCTGATAAATACACGGTGAAAACCGAACTAGTCTAAATCTCGACGCCCATTTAAGAAAAATATATTTGAGTTAAAAAGCGAACATCCTATATGACCTTGAACAGGATTTTTTTCAAGGTGTGTCAGGAGACTATGGCTCAACCTGTAAGAACAAGTGCAGTGTATCGTTTTTAATAAACCCTTCCTTCTCCAGCTTTTCTGCAGTGGACAGGTATGCTGTTCCAAGGCCTCCATTACTATTGGCTTTTGGCCTCTGCAAGTATGTTGAATCACCAAACTCAGCAGAAATCACCTTGATTGAAATCACCTTCGATACATCATTGGGGTGTATGACACCGATTGTGTACGTTTTGCGGAAAGGCCACTCTAACTGCGAATCATGATCCCCAGGGTGTATTTGCATGTAGCACCCAAGGTGAACCTGAACCTTTTTTCGTTTGAGCTTGACAAGTTGGGAGATGTTGTAATCATACACATTACTATTGGGACTAACCCAGGACTTAAGTCCTTTCTTAGGTACTTGCTTCTTTAGGTTTGCCCACTGCTCAAGGTACCAATGGACCTTCTTAGGTCTACGATGGCTTAGCGAAATCTGGAGAACTGCATCCGAGACCACTGTCAATTTCTCCGTTTGCAAACTCAGCTCTGTGCTCAAGTGCTCTTTGTAGTCAACCGCTGCTGCCTGGAAAACCCCTTGCAGTGTTTGGGCTACTTGAGTGGAGCAGGCTCTGTTTAGATCATTAAGCTTCTCAGTGAGCCTAGAAGCATCAGCCTCCCATTGGTCCTTGCATCTCGCACCCTCTTTTCTAATGGTTTCACTGCACTGGTTCAAACTGGTCTGCAATGACATGAGGTCCTTGGAGATCTTCTTCATGTCTCTCTTCATTTCAAAACAAGCTGTGCCAATGTCCTTGAGGTCTGGTGTGACGGCAAGCTCACGTGTGGCTTGGTGAATGTTGCAACCATTCTTGAAGTGCTCCAAAATATCATGCTGCAACACTGACGATTGGCACAAGCAACAAGAAACAATGCTGAAGTTGCATTCCTTGTAGTGATCCAAGATGCCGGCTGCAGGGCCAACGAAGCTGCAGCCTTTAGGTGCATTCCAACAGACCACCTTGAAAAGAAAAAAAATCAATATGTCAATGCCAAGGCTTCGTATTAGATCTCGGGTCTATTCCAGGTATGTATGGGAGGTACAGATCCAAGTGGTGTCGCGCTACGCCCAAGGCGGAAGAGGAAAAAAGAGAGGGGAGGATTGCAGAGAAGAAAGGAGAGGAGGATCAGATAGAGGGAGAGGAGGAGGGGGTGAGGATGAAACCTGTCCCGTGTCCCCCGCGCTCGGCAGAATGTTGCGGTGGGGGGGGGGGGGAACAACTTTATTTTATCCAGAATAGATTTCGGGGATGGGAACGGGTTCCTCACACCTTCCTCAGGCGGTGGCCGGGAGCCCCTGGGCCCTGGCGGCGTCTTCGGTAGTTCGGACGACACGGATGTGGACGTCCAGTGTGGGAGGCCCCCCAGCAATTTGTTGTGGGTACTTTATAAACACATTAGCAGATGAATTGGGATACGATATGAAATCAAAATCATGAATGTACACGTTAAGTGCTCCGTCCCCACACCCAGAAACCATTCTGGGAATAAACGAAGTTGTCCCCCCCCCCCCCGCAACATTCTGCCGAGCACCGGGGACACGGGACAGGTTTCCTCCTCACACCCTCCATCTAATCCTCCTCTCCTTCCTTTTCTCATACCCTCCTCGAGCGTAGTGCAATGCCACCTGGATCTAGCTGTACTGTATGAGGTAATGTATTTGATACCGATAACAAACCAAGTGGTGTCACCATCATTGTTTGCAACTGTTCTTGCCTTCCAATAAGGTAGAGCATCTGGCAGTAACCCATTTGATGTCAAATTTGGGGGTCTTAGTATGTGCTACTACCAAACCAACTAAGGACACCTGGCATGCCACAGCAGAGGACTAGGAATTAATTTTGACTACATAGGTATCTTCTGACATGCAACCGAAATCACGGAGCCTTCTTTGAAGAAGCTCCCGTCAGATTGCGGGACCTCAGTAAGGAGTTTTATAATGGTGTAAGCAAAAGTTCTGCATACGCAAACAATAGCATTGCTGCCACTCCATAGGTGCCGAATGCAAACCGCGTTGTGAGCTTTGCGGGTGTAATTCTTGCATACGCCATTTGCTGGAAATTGCATGTATACGCAAAGAGTCTTTGCATTACTCCAAGGAGGATTCATGATATGTGAGAAGTTGGCTAAATCCAAGACGAGCACAGTTAGAAAATGGCGGATCTCAAGATCATAACTGAGCTGCCTTAAAGATTGCTGTGAGCGCGATGCTGGCAGCATCCTAGCGACTGCAATTTTCAATACAAGACAACATCGCACACCTATGGGAGATTACAAACAGTTTGGAAGTCCCAGGAAGGTGGGCAACGATTGCCAGCAGCTTGCTGCTTGCGACGTGCAAATGTTTCTCGGCGAAGGTAGGGAGTGTGAATGTCAGTACTCTATCTTGCCGAGGAGATACGTGCGGACACGAACGGTCGACCGCTCCTGTCGCATTCTTATATTTAAACAAATATAAAAAGTAACTCTGGGTCAAAAAATTTTGTTTTTCCTCGGGCTACAGCATTTTGTGTGTGAAATAAAAATTGCTACTGTATCTTGGTGGCATTGCAAATGCAAAATGCTTTAGTTTTACATAGGAAAGGAGAAACACTATTCTAAAAGTCTCTTGCGTATCATACACTAATGTAAGTGCTAAATTTATTGCTAACGTGAGCTAAAATTGCATACATTGTTGTAAAACTCTTTAGTAACTCGGTACAACCTGTTACATTCAACATGTTGCACTAAATGATGGCAAATGGAAGTAAGCATGAATTCTGGGTACCAACGGTAGCAGAAAAGTTGTGGGAACTCACTTTACGCTTCAGGATGTAGTCGCGTGAGACCTCCAATAGCTCGACATCATCTTCGCAGAATGGTTCTTGGTCAACAGGACATATGCCTCCTTTGTCAACACACTGAGTATAACACTTTGTGCAAAGTCTGTGGTTGCAGGCCAGTCTCACTGCCTTTTTGTACACAACGCCACACAGGGAGCATGCCTTCTGCGCAATGATGGGCTCAGGGAACAGCATGGGCCTCCAGTCCAGGATGTCGGAGAACTCTGCTACCCTGAGAGACGTCATCTCCACCGAGGCATGATCACCACCTCCCATTCCTTTGCTGCTAGGCACGGAACCCTGCAAAATCCAGAATTACTTAATGGACAATCACAAAGCACCTATCCCTACATTTTCATGAGAGCAATAAGAAAGTGTAAAACGGATTATTTAAGTTATGTAGCTGTCCCGTTCAGGAAACATATGCAAGGTATTTGGAACAGTGCCTGATTGTACCAAACTGTTTTGTTTGCCTACATGCTTCGTTTGTTTAGTTGGTTCATGAGCCCAAAGCTATAGATTGCCCTTTATTGCCGCACCTACTGCAATGTACCGCTAAGTGGCCAGCGGGGGAGGGACGGAGAGAAAGGGAATGCACCCTCGCCCTCACGTTCACGCACTTCCCCGTTTGTCCAATGTACACCCTACCTACCACATGTGAAGGGGATCTGATACACAACCCCTAGTGCGCATGGTACAAAAGGAGCGCAGTGGTTGACATTGCAAATCACTGGTACTCCCTCGGTTAACAGCAGAGCACAGTCGTGACAGCTTCTGGGGTGCTGAAAACACCACTCGCACGTTATACTTGTGCGCCACTCGCTTGACCTGATGAGAGAGGGCATGGACATAAGGCACCACCACCGGTCTTGTCCGTTTTTGTCTAATCTTAGGACTGGGTCGGCCCCTAAACACCTTTACGAGGGACTCTGCCACACCCACTATCAACGTCAGAGGGTATCCCGCCGATCTCAGCCTAGATACCTGAAACAATAGACTGTTCTCACGCCTATGGGGGCATGACTTCAGCAGAGAAGCCCTCATACACGCCATAGTCACTGCTCTCCTCACACGCTTAGAATGCGCTGAACCGAATGGAAAAAACCCCCTTCTTTGAACGTGGCTCATAGGACCAACATGTATGTGACAGCTGCATAGCAAGCCTCAGGTCCAAAAACTGTAGTGCTCCTCCTGAGGGTGTCTCGAACTTAAAGGATAAACCGGGGGAGCACTTCGTAAAGCAGGCCAAGAAATCCAAACACACGCCTTGAGGGCTAGGGCTCTGGTTGTCATTGTACAGCACTAGGTAGTCGTCCACATACTGAAACACTCTCGAAACCCGACACCCCAAAGACCTTGCTATAGACCTGTCACATCTCGCCAGATATATATCACTGAGGACCGGTGCCACGCTCGATCCAATACAGATCCCACTCTTTTGCAAGTAAATTTCACTTTCAAATGTGACATAGGTGGAGCTCAAGTAAAAACTCAATAATTCCAAAAAGGAATCCACTGCAACACCCGTCGAGTTCATGAAGGCCACCGAACCACTTGCCTCTATGCACTCTCCCACGGCTAGCATCAATTCATGATGAGGGATTGAATAAAACATGTCCTCAACATCGAAGGACACAAACTCACAGCCTCCCGGACTGTCTTTTTTTTTTTTTAGGAAATCCACAAGGGTCTCAAAATTACGAATTTGTGTCTTGATTGGTTCTTTCCTATGCTCCCTGTATTTATTTTTCTGGTTCGCTTGAAAATTAAACTTTAGTTGATAGTTAGCGCTTTGTCCGTGCACTCGTCCTTTGTCAAATTTTTGCGCTGTTTTCACGTTTAAAGATGTTCAACCAACTCACCCAACTTATCGCCTTGTTTAATAGATGGCAGTTGCTGTCCAAAGTTTTGTGTCGAGATTTGCCCACAGACACGATACAGGCGAAACTACTCCTTAACAGCTGCGCTGTAAAAAGAAATACGTAAAATCTCGTAGGGGCGCCCTCCCCCGTGAGATCGCCCATCCCGTTTTTCTGGCCAGATATCTGTAACATAAAAATTCCAAAACATCGCCCACCCCGATTCCCGTTAGACGTCAAGCGATGTCCGACGGGAATCTCGCATCAACGGCGCGATCGGCGGTACCGGTGTGTCCAAGCGTTTTTGTCTGCGATCTGCGCGCGTCATCGGCTCGCGTAACACGCGAGTTCTTACCGCGTGTATGTTGCATCGTGAAAAGCGATTCTGTTGCGTCCGCGATCTGCTGTATGTTTCCGTGACATGCGAGTTTGTAGCGTATTCCCGTGTTTTTGTCCGCGATCTGCGCGCGCGATATCGGTTTCCGTGACAGGCAAGATTGCAGCGTGTTCCCGCGTCTGTAATGCACCATGAAACTTGAATCTGCTACGTCCGCGATCTGCGGTATCCGTTCCCGTGAGTTGCGAGTTCTCGGCGGGTTTCCGCAAGTCCTTCGCGCCGTGAAACGCGAATCTGCTGCGTCGGCCACTTACGGTATCCTTTCTCGTGACACAGGAGTTTGTAGCGAATCCCCGCGTGTTTATCGCATCTTGAAACGCGAATTTGCCGTGGCGCGATCTGCGGTATCAGTTCCCGCGTCACGCGGTTTGTAACGGGTGCCCCGGTGCTTATCATTAATTTTTCATAAAGTTTTGCTGTAGCACCCCCAGAGATAGCCCACCCCATGTTTTTCACCATTTATCTCTTCATTTTGGGTAAGGGTCCTTACGGGATTTTACGGTAGGACCATAAAGCTTGACAGGGTCAACGTTGAGGGTCAACGGCGGACGGCGGCGCAGACGATCGAGTCGATTGATTTGGCCGTTTGGTGTGAGCACTGACAGAAGGGGTAGCCTCGTGGTGCAGAACCAAATGTAATGTAAAGTTGCCATCGCTTTGCGAACGATCGGGAGAAAGAAGGAAAGAAGGTGTGCTCACCAGTTCACGAAGTTCACTCGTCCTTCGTGAAATGACGAAGGGCGCTGGAGTAAAGCGGCTGGTAATGCACGAACGTTAACCGGCCGTCAACTCTGAAAATGTTGGAAAGTGCGCCAACCAACTCCAGGTGCGTCTTGGCTTCCTTGGCTACGGCATACGGATTGGCTTCTAAACAGTTACTATTAAATTTGAAAAGTCACACTAGGCGGCGCAAGCCAGAGTCCAATTTGAAGGGTTTAGCCTTATCTATTTATCTACTCAGTGTGCATACTAACAGCGTAACTCCAGAACCATAGTGACCATAGTATATATTATTCCGAACTCCGAAGATGTCTGGTACGTAAACTGTTAATGTCGTAATGCACAGTCCGCGCCTTTCTGTGTATGGTGTATGTTTCTGTAATGGAGACAGAACAAGGACTATCCTTTCAGAGTGCTTTGGTGAATCAAAGGGGTTAAGCTTCATTGATTTGGTAGTTCGTCCGTGGTTCTGCTTGGCGACCTCCGTAGGCGCCAAGAGGCGACTGACGAGGTGTCTGTAGGTTGCAGCCTTTTGGGTTTTTACTCTTACCTGTAACTTGATTGAGTAGTTTCCTTTAAACACTTCGTACGAGTGACACCCATTTGAACTTGAAATTGCTCTCAATGTTGTCAACATGAATGAAGTCCGTCCAAGGCAGCTTTCGCCCCATCATCTCTGGTGGTGGCTTGCCTGTGACAGAATGCGGCGTCACGTGCTGTTTAAACAAGAACCGTGAAATCTTGCACTGCATTTAGCCTTCCTGTTGCTTCTTTAATGCTTCTTTCTTCTCACACCATCTGCTCGGCTGTCCCGTTACCGGTGGGATGGTAAGGCGAAGGAAAACGCTGCACAAGCACCGTCACACTTAAAGGGATACTACAACGAAATTTCGGCGCTCATTTTTTGGTCTATATGTGTTCAAAAAAGCAGCATCACATCGAACATACCAATATCTTGTTAAAAAAGTCACGAAAAGGAATTTTAAAACGAATTAAACGATTAGCAAAGAGCACCTGGTGGATGTCGCTAACGCCTCGCTTGTAATGCCCGCCTAGGAACCTTGACAGCTTGTGACGGAGGTTGTCTCGTCTCCGGCCACGACGAGAGAAGAGGGGCAGGAGGAACTCCCCTCTTCCCGAGAATGCCTTTTGTGTGTCGCAGAGGTCGCTATTATCCCCCTACAAGATTATAGAAGATTAACCCGTCACTCAAAATTCGTACAAAAGCAGCCGCTTCGGTGGCTGGAACGACTAGGTCATCCTCTCGACGTCAGCCTCGCCGTAGCTTTGCTCGTCTTGAGACGACCTACGTCACGATTGCGTTGGATGTCACGTGGTCTCTGCTGGGCCTTCTCCGAGCGCTTGCCAGAGTGGGCCGTTTATAACGAAAAATACAGCCACCAGGCTCAAAATACAAACGTGCGATTGTCATTTATGGATATTGTGGATCATATTCAACCTATTTTTGAACACGACGGGAATATTTCAAATTTCGTTGAAGTATCCCTTTAAAGGGACCCTGCAACAACTTTTTGACTGGTTTTTAATTTGCACCGAACCTGAGCGCGCTGAACGTAGTAACTTAAAGAAATTTTTCTTTTCTCAAATTTCGCTTTATTTTAAAAGTTATAGGCAAATTAAAATTACAAAAACAAGCAAAAATAACCTCCTTCATGACGTCATAGGTCCTGGCTTGAGTGGCCGTGAACTAGAGGAGGAGTAGTGAGCTCATCGAGCGGTCACGGCTGCTGCACTCCGTGTCGACGGCTCGAGAAGGCGCCACTACAGCACGTGTTGTATAGGCTGTAGGAAGCGGGCGGCCAGGACGGCTCGCATTGCTTTGGCTGCGCGATTAAAGACTAATTCGGCATAACACTTCATTGGCCACAAACGACAGCAAACACGGGGTAAAGATCAGTTCAGAACGGGAGCCACTTCGCGCTGCCATACCTTCAAATGGCCAAATCGCCAGCCAAGCCCGCGCCGAAAGCCTTCGGAACGCTCGGAACCGGTCGGATCCTCGAGCCGGTATACGACCACAGCGCCGCCGCATAGATCTGGGACCTTTCTATGCTTGCCGTTCGTTGGCAGCTCATCCCACTAGCCCTTTCTAGTATGCGCCGTTTTTTCCGCCGTTTGTGGCGGGTTTGTCGACGGTTCTTTTCTTGTTTCTGTACTTTATAAACTGTATTTGTTTCTTTTCTGGTCTAAAATACTGAACAAAAACTGCTTTCATACATAATTGAAACGGTTTGCGACACCTATATTTTGTATCTCGACTAAAAAAAAAGCTTTTAGCTGCTCTTACCAGTAGTAAGCCCAGGACCAAAGACGTCACACATTGCGCGCTTTCGGCAACGCGGGTCGCCCTTGTAGGTGGAGGAAGTTTCCGCGTCGTCCGGTTAAAATATGACTCACTGATATTTAGTTACTCTCTCCGTGCCTGCTGGCTTGCCCGAGCCCCAAGAGACGTGGAAACCGCAAAAAAGGTAGACGCTTAAATATGATTGCAGGGCCCCTTTAAAAAATGTTTGAAACTTGGCGCTCGTAAAAACGGTGCAATTATTAGTAAAAAGAAAAGAAATGATGATGATGATTGTTGCAGTCTTTATTGATGTCCTGATTGGACCTCTGCTCAGTTGCTGTAGGTATCGACAGTGGTTAGGAAAACTTTTCCCTTGACTTACCCCGTGGAATCAATGCATAGTCGAAGGTTTATCTTGCTTGATCCAAAAGTGCACTGGAGCCTTGGTATCGCTTTGCCGGTTACTTTGACATAACTCAGCACAAACTATTCAATCTCGTGGTCCGTATTTAACCACCATGTCAGCCCTCCGGATGGTTTCATAGCACTCATTTCCAGATTTTGCCTGCTGCAGTTGAAGCACCTCTTCTCTTGCAGCTTGCGGTATGAAAATGTGGTTTCCACGCAGAATGTAATCTCATCGTGACAGCAGCTCCGTCTTGCACACCCTGTAAGTTGAAATGAACTGCCGAGGTGTGTCGACGGTCAGCTGTCGAGGATTCATTCCTTTACCTCAGAGAAGACTCCGCTGTTCTGGAGCAGCTTACTGACGTTTAATGCTTTCAATGGCGTGCGCCGAACAACTCCCAGGAGGAGTATGTTCCCAGGTGGCTTCTAGGGCTGGAAGACGATTGAGTGCATTGTACGTTGGAGTTCTCATTGCATCATTTGTACTGGATGTAAGGGCTGTAAGCAGCCAACAACAAAATCCAACAGCATCCTAAGCAAAACCATTTTGGGCCTTTGCTTATCAAAAGACCCAATTGTGGCTTGCGATTTGCCATTACCATGGATTCTCGACCGACCAAGTACTTATTAAACCTTTTTACTCGGTGAAAGACAGCCAAACCTCCTTTATCTGTGAGCCCATATCTACACTCGCTTGTACCAAGAGTCCGAAACGCGGTCCTATCAGACACACTACGAGCCAGCACTGCTCCCACCTCCCATAGAAAGCGCGTCGCAGCACAGAATAAAAATTATGCTTTAAGTAATGGGGAACAAGTATGGCATTAGAGCTACATAGCTTCTTCGACGTCTCAAACGCATGTTGGTGCTCACCTGTTCATTCCCGCTCATTATCATGGTATAGGATCCGATAAGCAGGTACCAACGTTTCAGTCTTTTCCTCGGGGAAACTACCGTAGAGATTCAGTAACTCAAGGAAGGCTTGCAGCTCATCCTTGCTTATTTGTAGGGGCTGAGAATTGCTGAATGGATTCTGTCTTGCTCCGGCCTGGGTGGATTCCTGGGGAATCAATGTTGTGTCCCAAGAATTCAATGCTTGTTTTGTTTAATTAGCACTTTTTCTTATTTACCCTTAAAGGGGTACTCCACCGATGTTTTGAGCTACCTCAACTAACTATATTTTCTGACTTCCCGGCCTTTACTCTCCCCGGTATGCTATTTAGAATCGCGAAATTCATAATAGGTATTGTGAAATCGGCAAATGAAAATGATGCAAAAACCAACATTCAAATATACCCACACTTTTCAGTGCCATGACGTCAGTGGTAGGCAGGCTTGCCAGTCGAGCAGGCAGCCAAAAAATAGAATATGCCAATCATTTGTTCCGTGCTGGACCGTGGGTACTGCAGCGAGCTTCCCAAGCATTCATTTGACACCATGAAACTGCTTCGAATCAGTTTAAAAAAAACTCTACAACCCAAAGAGTGAACCCCTGCCTTCCACTGACATCACTTTTTCATTGTTGCCAGTAGAGACTTCGAGCTTGAAAAACACGGTGAGGACCAAAACTGTAAATTCAATAACTTTGCGAAAAAACAATATTTTGACCTAATATTTGGGATAATATTTTCGCGATGTTTGTTGGTTAGTTTAGCAAAATTTCAAGCAAATCGGAGACAATGAAAAAACCTGTGGAGTACCCCTTTAACTGCATTTTGCAGATGCTACAGAACAGCAGCTAATCCCTCCAAGTGCTCTTTTGTGTTGCTCTTGAAGATCAGGATATCATCCAGATAAGCCTTTACACCAAGTATGCCTGCCAACAATGTGACGATGACTTGTTGAAACATCCACGGTTCTACTGAAATTCTGAACGGTGGCCATCAGACCTTGAAAGCCCCTTAAAGGGGTATTCCGCCGATTTCTTCATGGTCCCCGATTTGCTTGAAATTTTGCTAAACTCGCCAAACAACATCGCCAAAATAGTATCCCAAATATTAGGTCAAAATAATTTTTTTTCACAAAGTTATTGAATTTACAATTTTGGTCCTCACCGTGTTTTTCAAACTGAAAGTCTCTACTGGCAACAATGAAAAAGTGACGTCATTGGAAGTGCAGGGGTTCACTCTTTGGACTGTAGAATTTGTTCCCAACTGATATGAAGCAGTTTCATGGTGTCAAATGAATGCCTTGGAAGCTCGCTCCAGTCCCCGCGCTCCAGCACGGAACAAATAATTGGCATATTCTATTTTTTAGACTGCTCGCCCGACTGGCAAGCTGAACTTCCACTGACGTCACGGCCCTGAAAAGGGCGGGTATATTTGAATGTCTGTTTTTGCATCATTTTCATTTGCCGATTTCGCAATAACTATTATGAATTTCACGATATTAAATAGCATTCCAGAAAGGGTAAAGGCCTGGGAGTCAGAAAATATAGTTAGTTGAGGTAGCTCAAAAATTGGCGGAGTACCCCTTTAATTGTGTTGATCGTGAACATCTAGACTGAGCCGTTGATAAGCTTGAGCCAAATCAAGCTTAGTAAACATCTTCCTTGCTTGCCAGATTTCTAGCATTTTTGCTCGTGGATACTCACTGCTTTGATGACTGCACCACAGTGGTTATCGTATTGCTGCAAAGTTCTGTCTTTTTTCCTTGCCACTACCAAAGGCTTCACCCAATTGGCTTCCATATGTCTCATTGCGCGAGGCAATCCACTTTCTTGGATATATTGCCCTTGAGGGCTAGTGGTGCTGGACAACTTTCAGGAGCACCAGTCGGGCACCGTCTGAGTTTGTTGTGAATTTGTCACCAGTTGAATCTAAGAAAATTGCTGCAAAAAAAAGCAACTAAAAAAACTGTAGGTCGGGTCTTCATTCCTTAGCTACTGGCTTCCAAGCAAGCCTTTGCCTAAAGGCACTTCTTCCCGAGCTAACTGTTGTCTCACTTTTTCAACAACGGCAGCGCTGCCTGATCGCTCTGAATTTCACGACCATGCTCACTCAACTCATCAGTGGCAAAGCTTCTCTCCATCAGGTGACTAATGTTGTGCCAGATTCTTGAAGTAGTATTTTACTTGACTTTCTCTCAATAAGTTGCAACATCTATGCTTTTCACTCGTAATTGACCAAGACACTTCTGAATCGACCACCAGTGGGACCTACTGTCCTTGAATTTGCACTTGCACCTTGAACTTCTGCTCTTGTTGACATACTTTGCAGAGAGAAAACAATGCACTCATTTTTTTACATGCCCTTGATCTTGTTTCTTTTCTTATGCTGTTCATGCGCATTTGGAGGTGTTTTACTTCCAATTTTTGAATGACAGTACTCTACTCTGCTATGTGTCCTACTCTTCTGCAGATGAAGCACTCAAACTTCCTAAAACTGCTTTAATGTAGAGTGTGCTTAATGGTGCAGTTATAGTACCTAAACTTTGCCTGCCATGGTGTCTTGCTTCGTGCGGGCTGCTTGTATGGGTCCCTTGCCAACCTTTCTTTCATCGCTGCCCTGCTTGCATACGTCTTGCTGCTGCTTTGCCGTTGCTTGTCTCATCATGGCCGTGTCGTATGCCACCTTGAAAGTAGGCCTGTGTTGTGTGAGAAGCCACTGTTGAGCTGCTTTGAACTTGATACCATCTACGAAACAACCCCGGACCGTAATGTCCAGCAGGAGCTCCGTGTTGCCAAAATCGCAATCTTCGACGAGCTTCTGGAGTGCTGTGACATACTCTGCAACCGATTCTTTTTTTTAGCCTGGTTTGTCTTATAAGACAAGACCCCCAACTACAGCTCCAAAGGCCTTGGGTGCAGGTGATTTAGAACCACTGTCTCGGTTTTGTCGTAGCTTAGTCTGGTGCAGTATTGCCTACGAAGCCTTTGTGTCGTAGAGCCCCTAATCACAATCGTTGGTTTCGTAGCTTGCTGTCATCGGTCCTCCTGGCTTCACCAAGCTATAATGAGCTCGTACATCTCGCCCCAACGGCCACTTTTTCTGTTCATCCATCATTATCTCATTTGCAACACAACATTTCCAGCCATTTGACATACTCGACCTGCGACATGCTCGTGCCAAGAACAGATTCGCCACTTCTGCTCACAGCCATTCTGCCTTACTCAGACGTGGACTCACCCATCCGCCGGTCTGCTTGTCTGCCTCGTCGCCAATGTTATGTACCATTAGACAACCGGCGCATAACAGAACACATCTTTACTGATGATGTTCCTTCTACGCTATGTACACTGATGATAAGCGAAACGTGCGGCTTGCATTCATAATAAGTGATGTGAAGAAATGTACACCATCAGTATATGACACTAAGGCTAACGACACGTCGCTGTGCAGTCGCAGGCTGCGCTTCATCTCTTTTCAGCGCTTCTTCCTTCGTTCCTGTGGATACTGGACATGCGCCTGTTCTGTGGCCAGACCCTCTTTGGGAAGAACGGCCGTCGTCCTGTATTCTGCACGGGCCGCGTTCATTTTTTTTTTTGGTTGAGAACATTTGTGTCGTCTTCCTGCCTTGCACGCTTAGCAGACATTATGCCCATTGCCCCATTGGTACTCATCTTTCCTGGAGTCTAGTGTCCCATGGAAACAGGAGTTGCGAAAAACACATAATAGTCTCTTAAAGGAACACTTGCACCGCCCAAAAAATTTTTTTAATTTTTGCCAGGTAATTTATAATGTTGTCAGAAGACTACCCAATCAATATTTTGCCACAGCGTCGCATATATTTTTAATAAAGTAAAAAAACGCAACTGCTCTAAACTGAAACTAGACTGGGGAGGAAGGAATATAGAGGAGAGCATTGACAGGAATCACGTGGCTGCGCAACTTTCTTTTTCAATCAACGCATTTGCAGCATTTTAGAAGCCACAAAAAATGGGTATCATATTTATTTTTCTATTTTTAATATTCAGTGTGTGCCTTCGATGGACCCACGACTTTGATTATATTCAGCGGTTGTGTCTAAACCATAAAAAATGTCACGTGACCACGGAGAAGAGAGTGAGCGCGGCTCAAACCGGCCGGTTCTCTATCGGTGGTTTTCGGGTGGAAAGAAAACGAATTTTGAGCTGCAAATTCTGTTCTTGACTGTTGGGCTCTCATATGTCATGTACAAATAAAAACCTTAGCGAGCATAAATACCCTGTCGGTGTCCCTCTAAAAACTAACTGGCTGGGGGAAATTTGAAAGAGGCATTGCAATAAACACCACAAATGCCACCTCTCTCTTTCCCTAGCCAAACCTGAGGCCCTTCTATGAGCGTGTTTTGAAAAACAAAAAAAACCTGGGTTAAAGCAAGATTGAACTTTTGCCTCACTGCCAGTATGATGGGAGGTAATTAGTAGTTGCTAACAAAGGAAAACTTGTCTGACTTGTTACCCTAAAACTTGATTACAGTGAGTAACTTCAAAAGTGATTCATTAGGCCACTCACTTCTTGGGTTATGTGATTTGTACTTTACTTTTGAGGGGAGATTGGTGAACAAGTGTTAATGCACCACAGCTTAGGGCGAAAGCTCATGCTGCAGAACCCAGGGATCCTAGGTTCAATCCCCCTCCCTGCCCATTTCAATCTAAATGAGCATCGTACCGGCGTGTGTCACTTTATGGTACATTAATGACCCCAGGCTTGTGGTTATAAAGTACTGGCTAAATTTCTCATTTACATTTGAGACACCAGGTGCCCATAAAGGTGGACTAGGTAACTTCTGGCATACACACAACTACTTTACCTACTTTTGACAAGGGTAATCCGTAACCAACCACTATCCTAGTAATTTGTGCACGTTTGGGTGTGGGATCGGCGCAGAGAGTGAGGAGGACCGGGACTATGTGGCGCCAAAGCGGGAGGTCCAGACGCCCTCGGACATGGTGCGCTGGACCAAGACGGAGGTGAGACCACTGGCGGCGCGGCACCAATTGGCGAAATAATTGCCACTTGATAAATCTGCATCTGGAGTAACACAGCTTGAGAAGTAGACGGTTAATAGCCTAAGGTTCCTAGATAAAAGAAGGTAACGACACCTCTTTTCTCCTGTGCACACACTTTTTACAGCGGAGCTGTTAAGGGCTAGTTTCCCCAAAATCGTGTCCGGTACCAAACAAATGTCAACACCCGTGGTCGACACAACAATCTGGTTGCCGCCGTCGCTCATAGATGGCGGTAGCTGTCCAGAGTGTTGTGTTTGCTGGTTGTCTGCTTGCCGCCGTCGTTCATAGATCGCGGCAACCTTTCCAACCTCGGCAACCAGACAACTGGTTGCTGCCGTCGCTCATAGATGGCAGCAACATTTCTTCGGAGGAAGAAAAACGGGAACGAAACGAGGCGGCGATGTGTGCAGCAGCGCGAATGGTTCTGCAACTGCCGTGACGCCGCTATCGCTTAAAGTTCCACTGCGTCGAGCGCTTCAGATTTTCTTGTGAAAGAAGTGCAGATCGCTCGCCTGGAAAGCCACTGCCGAGAACAGAAGCTACACCTTCGCTGCTCTTCCTTCTTCACTAAAGTGGAAAGGCTGAAAGTTTTCTTTTTGCTTTCTTACATTTTTTCAGCATTATGATTGTCACAAGATGGTAAGCAGCATTTGTACAGTTGTTGCGGTCGTAAGTCAAAGTGCTGTCAAAGGCTAAAAGACACAGACAAAAACATGCCGCACCACACTTTTTGGATTTCATTGCATTAGCCGTGAAAAACGCACCCAAAGGATGGTGAGAGCTGCAGTGTTGTGCTTCTGGCGTTTTTTTATTGGGGCCATCAGCTCGTAGCTTCCGCTGCACTCTGAAGGCATAGGCATTCCCCCTTTTTCCACTCCTTGTTTTTCACTGCACGCACTCTTTTATCTCTTTTACTTTCCCACGCCTTCCCCCCATCATGATTTGTCCCAAGTTAGCGAGGGGTGCACTCCAAAGGATGTCGTTACCTTTCCATATGGAAAGACTTTAGGCTAGCCTAACTAGCTCAAAGAGTCCCGGTGCTCTGGAGCATGTCTACAGCAGCAGGATTAGCAGCATTATGAGGTGTCGTCCCATCGATATGGGTTTCCTTCCGCAGGCCTACCACGAGTATGTGGGCTTCGTGCTGGCCATGAACGAGCGCATCAAGGGCAAGAAGCTGACGGACGACTTCCCAGTCTCGGAGGTGAGCATTTGTCGTCGTCTGCCAGGAGAGAGTTCCCCTAGGCAGCTTTCGAGGCTAAGACAGAGCATACGTGTGTGCCAGCTGGCCACCAACCCCACGCAGGATACGCGACAAAGAATCGGCAGACAAAGGTACGAGGGCGAAACCACTGGAACGTCGATACACCACCTATTGGGAGTGCCACCGTGGCGCTTTGTGTCGGGAAAGCCAGGGGAGTCTGTAACGACTGGAGCTGCACGGGGTACTCGAGGGCAGGGCGAGAAGGGTGCACGGGACGGGCGTCTGCCACGTGGCGTCCCGACTGCACCACGCAGGTGGTCACCCCGGGTCCGTTTGCTTCGAGTGTGGCTATCTTTAACCATCATTTGGAGATTAAACACAATCGGGCATATTATACTATAGGGTCGGCTGCATTTTGTGCAGGGGCAAGAGCCCCCACCCCAGGCTATGCCACTCTCCCTTTGTACAGTCTAAGCTCATTACAACAGACCTGGTTACAACAGACATTTGGATATAACATACCAATTTGTGAAGTTTGGTTGGTTTTCCTCTACATATCATTGACTTAACTTCATATCTGCATACAACATACTCTTTTTACAACAGACCAAAACCTTGGTCAAAATCAAGGTCTGTTATAACGAAGTTACCAAAAGAGAAAGGGCAGCAGGGCGCCGTCATGCCTTCCACTGCGCTTCGACCGCGCACGCGCTTGATGTGCACGAGTTGTTGACGCGTCGTCGAAGCTAGGAATCTGCGCCGAACGCGGGGCAACTGACGCTCCTCCCTGTTGTTCTTACCTTGTCTGTGACCGTAGTGGTAGTGTATAGTTTGTCTCGGGGCACCAGGCAGTCGCACGTCACAATCTTTCTGCGACCAGACGAGCTCTTTGGATTTGTGGTGCGATGGGGTCGCGTCTGAGAGGTCTGAGGTGAACGCGCAGGTGACCTCTGGCCTGCTGAGGCTACTGGAGACCCTGGACGCATGGGTGGAGGAGACACCGCCCGTGAGCCAGCCCCAGCGCTTCGGCAATTCTGCCTTCCGCACCTGGCTGCAGAAGGTGCACAAGGTGAATGCGGGATGGCCCGTTTCTTCCGTGGTGCCGTGGACACTATGTTGTACTCTGGTCAGGGCCGGATTTATGGGTCACACTTGGGGGGGGGCATTCAGCTGGCTGGGGGGGTGAGAGTCTGCTGAGATATAATGGTACTGCCAAAACATTGCCCAGATCTATTTTGTTGACCCAATATTTGCTACGTCACCAAAAACTAAATGTTTGGTCAATGCATATCAATGCATTGACTGGTTACTCGAACGAGTTTGGGACCCCTTCAGGCAGATTTCACACGCTCATGAACATAAACTCTTAATTCCGAGTAAAGGAGATTGGCACGCTGCCTAGATGCGCATTAAAAATGAGATTGCATAACAGATTACGCTAGCAACCACCCCTGTAATTTTACGATATAATGAACGTCTTCTCTAATTTATTGCTAGAATATCAAAATCTTGTGTTTGGTGGTTGAAAATAATTGACAAAGTGCAATGAGACAGCGGCCATCCTCCATGATCACGAAACACAATAACAAGCAAGAACGACTTTTCTGTGTAGGGAGTATTCCTATGATGTCTGCGGCACCTCAGTTGTGTGCTAAGTGGGCTGTTTTTCTCTGGGGTTGTTTCTGGGTCGGAATTGTTAATTTTTTCTCTTTCTAGCAATATGCATTTACCCTTGTCATGATCTACGGGCAAGGTGTGCAGTTGGGCGAGTCAATGCGCAATGAGAATTAAAAAAAAAAAACGGCACGAAAAAGAAACGGGGAGAAGTGGAGGCCACACGTACACAGCACTGACTCTCGACTGTTACATCTTCTTTCATAACAGAATCTACAAACCATAACAAATACTAAAAAATCTGCATGCCGTGGTCGTTTCAACGTGAAGCCGGTCGTTTGAAGTCCGTTTGAACGTAGAGACACAATGAACGTGGTCTGGGTGGTTAGGACCAGCTAACAGTTATTTCATATTCACGCTGAAAAAACACGAAATGTTAGGACGGCGAGGCTCCAAAAATTTACCCCGAGGCGCTTCTCGCAAGGAGGATCGTGGTCCTGTGGTGTCTACTGGTTCTGTTTCTTTGCAGTAGCTATCCACATTCTCGGACGGGTGGACACCTTTCCCAGCTTTCTCGGTGCAACCTAGGTTGTGCTTTGATGAGAAGGCAGGCTTCCACTGGTTGCCATTAAAATAACGCAGTAATGCGCGGCCACTGAGTTTTTTTTGCCCATAGCCTAGACCGGAAGGGTGCCCGAAGAGCATTAGCTGAAGCGCCACAGCAGTGTAGAAGAGTTGAGTTTCTGTCTAGTCACTGGCAGGATGAGAATGCCAGGGGGTGTCTCTCGGCACGGGTTCATTGCCTTCTGCCGTGTTGTGGCTGCGCGTGCACACTCTCAGGAGATGCAGAAATGTTATCGAAGGTGGGAAGCTCAGGCCAAGAGCGGGATAACCGAAGGACCTCCCCGTCGTTCTTATCCCATTGCTGACTATTGTCCGGTTGCTGCAAAACGTAGAAGTGGGTGGGACATTGCAGAGACGGGCGATCAGCTGGACTGGTGGGTGGCGAAACCACCGCTGCGGGGAGAACTTTATGTGCCATCTGTTCCCCTTTAATTTGGGTGTGCAGCACTCTTTGTCCTGTCGCTTTGTGCGAGGTCTGCGCCTACTGTTTGTGGTCACTTTTAAAATTGTACCTCAAAGGCTGGGTTAGTGTGACCATTTAAACTGCTTATCGTTGCTTACGACGAGATGGCCGCTATGACAAGGGACGTCTGTGCAATGCATTGCATCCTAATGCCAGTAGACCTTAGCACGGTCAGTTGCACTCAGAGATGATTTTGTGAACCAGCTTTAGTCCTACGCATAAAATTGGGAGATATTGTGGTAGAAAGACTCGTATACAGTGCAATCCACTTATAAGGATACCACACATAACGATATATCGCTTATAACGATCAGTTTATAGTTTCTAGACTAGAATCAACCAGTTTCTAGCCCAGATACAACGATAATCGGTTATAACGATTGCATTTTGGGGTTTTCTCATTATCGTTATAAGGAGATTGCACTGTATATCTCCTTTGGCAATCAATTAATTATCATTATTAATCATTTACCGTAATACCCCGAGAGATAGCTCACCTAATATTGAAAACAAATCGGGAGAATATAAGGAGTGAGCTAACTTTCGGTGTGCGATAAGAAAAGTTGAAAAAACGACAGCTTTAGATTTTGTGACCTGCAAAACTTGCGACCACAAGGAGGGGCAATGAACCAAAGACGGCAGTCTTTCCCTGCAGTCGCCAGCGTTTGCTTATCTCCCACCGTGGCTAAGTGACACTATTTCTGTCGAGGTCATGATGCGATGCCTTGCAATTATTGGAAGTAGACCATCTTTCGGTGTTTTTCGAGAAATAGCAAATCGTGCCAAAAATAGGGGGCGGGTTATCTTTCCAGGGCGGGGCATGTCTCGGGATATATGGTATACATAATTAGCGGAACTTACTGAATTTAGCTCAATAAGTCCGCAACACAGTTTTTCGCAATGTTTTAAAATATGCGAAGAGTGCACGTGTGCAGCTTCGATCAGCACTCCGATTTAGCAGCCGTGCGGCGGTTTTTCGTTGCACCTTTTCGTAATGTTAAACTTGTCACACGGAAGCGAGCCCCTCTGCATTAACAGGTTTGTTCTATCGTTGCTGCTATTGTCCGAGATGAATCGGCAATTCTGCCAGTTTGAAGGGCTTCCTTTGGAGCTTGTGAAAGAGACGTGGAGAGAGGATAATTAAAAGGCAGAGAGGTCAGCCAGAGTGCCTGGCTCTAGCAGGCTGCTCTACACTGGGAGCAAGAGGAAGAAAATGTTGGCAAGAGCAAATGGGGAAGGGTATGTGGAAGATGAGAGGTGGTCGGAGTGACTTGAACTCGCACCTTAGAGATCAGTGCCTGTTCTGTGTTTCCACAAACGTAATCAATGCATTTGTTGCTTTTGTGGAGCATCGATTTGAGTGCCAGCCGCCAAGCACTTTCTCGGCGATAATTGGCCCATCATCCACATTGATAGCATCATCTCGAGTACCTGCCTCTCGGTGGCGTGAAGAGTATGCACGATGAAGAGACGTTTTATGTTTTTTTGAAGGAGCTTACGAGGGACAGCGGGGTAACAAGCTCGGTGCCACGCAGGAGGCCGAGGAGCTGCTGAGGGAGGCGCTGCCTGAAGACTGTCGCCCCGCCGTGGTGGAGCTCTTTCCTTACCTCCAGGAAAGCTTCGGGAACATGACCCGCATCGATTACGGCACAGGTGAGGGTTCCCCACTTGGCTTCGCTCTAGGACAAATGTGTACAGAGATCATTATGTCGGCTCAACGTAACTCAATTTTACGAATTTTGGGGTCTTGGATCGAGCAGTACTCACTGAGGAACGACACAACATTTGTTTGAGGAAAAGTACCATATATTTTATGGTCCATAAGTTGCGTCCCCCTCTAAATGGTTGTTTTTACAAAAAAAGTTGGTATATAAGTTGCACTTACACAGGTTGCCCCAAATAACTTGCACCAAACTTTACAATAAAAATGGAGGGCTCTACAGGGGTCAGAGCCGTATATGTAGAGAGTTTGGTCAATGGGAGGCGTGGGCAGAGCCAGGCGTGCACCAGACTCGGAAAGAGGGCTTGGCATGCTCTCTTGACCAACCAGAAGCCGAAAAGAATCCCCTAGCGATGGTAGGGGCAAACAGTTCTGATCAAAAGTCTATGTTCGTATATGGTTTTAAGAAGCGCGTAAGAGCGAAGTGTGGTAACTCTTTGGGGTTGAAAATAGGGTGCACGTGTTGTTTTGATCATGATCATGCAGAAAGATGTAACAAACGAATGCGCCGCGCAACCTCTGTTTTGCGCGGACAAAGTGTGACCGCTCGGACGGCAGATTCCCGGCCCTTGGCGCTTGGCGTACAGATTTTGTTGATCGTTCCGCTAGTCGCACTTTTCCACCATCATTTTGGATTAACGCGATTGAAACATCACGTGTACCATATTTTCAGCCATTGAGAGTTACTCCAATGCAGTTATCAGGTTTGTTTCTCGCGACCACCGCCAGGGTATTATTTCTGGCTTCTGGTTGGTCACGTTCAAATTTCTGAAGACGCCCTGGAACACGCCCAGCCCGCTTTCGGCCAATGCTTTTGTGTTCAACTGTGACTGACTGCATTACAACCTCTTATGACCGCTGATGACAAGATGGTTGCCATGGCAACCGAGGTCCGCATAACATATGGATAGTGGAATGAAGAGAGCCATAATGCAGTGGGTCACACTTAAACACAAATGTCTGAACTAGCCTCGACTGTGACCGGGCGGTCTTCCTTTTGGGGCCGAGGTAAGAACGGCATCCTTTTGCTGCGGGTTGCAGGGCACGAGATGAGCTTTGCTATGTTCCTGTGCTGCCTGTTCAAGATCGGTGCCTGGAAGGAGGAGGACTCTGCTGCCGCTGTCCTTGGGGTCTTTGAGAGGTACGCTCCTTCGGCGTTGCATTGGCACTCCAGGAACACAGCGGGCCGGGGAAACAAGCTGTCTGCCGAGGGCGGTGCAAAGTGATAAGAGATAACTAAATAGGGAGTTTTAGAATAGCTTAATTAAAGATCGGCATCGTTGCCGCTGCCCAAACGCTTACCGCGTTTTTTGCGCTTTGTATGCTCTATTTTAGCGTTTGCTATTTTTCGGAAATTATGTGCGTACGCAAAGAGTTTTTGAGTTCCTCCAAGGAGGATTCGTGATGCGCGAGAAGTTTGCCAAAGCCAAGACGAGCACAATTAAAAGGTGGCGGCTGCCAGCACTGCACCTAGAGTCGCTTTGGCGGTTGTCATGAGCATGACGATTTTCAATAGCGGACGACGTTGTACTCCTACGGATGGTGCACGTCAGAAATGGTTTCAAAGACCCAGCAAGGTAGTCAACGATATCCGGCAACTTGCTGCTTGCCACACGCGAATGTTTTTCGGAGAAGGTGGGCTAAGTTTAGAGCTAGCATAGGCTAAAATTGCTAAAAATGCTATCGTAAAACTCCCTAATGTCTTCCCAACCTCCTTCATGTTCATTTTGTAGCTTGTTCAGTGCCTCCCCCCTATTCACTATGCCAGTGAATGGATCTCTAAGGGACCTTGAGAAGAGCCGCCTCGGTGGCTCGGAGCCAAAGCGCCGGCCTACTGATGCCCAGTTGGTGGGTTTCAATCCCTGCTGAGGTGCATGAAACCTGACTTAGGCTCGTTGCAGAAAAGGTGCCACTGAACTGAAAATTGGGTTACACGTCGAAAGATCCCCAGGTGGCGTAAATTAATTCTTAGTCCTTCGCTAGGGCAGGCCAGAGTCCCTTCACTGGTTTGGCACATAAAACCCCAAATTCGCCTTTGGTAAGAGGGGATATGTAGCGGTGAAATTAACGTAATGACAACAAAGGGAGGGGGTGCCACATCACCACCCTGTCGGCAGGGACTCCGGAACTGGGGGGGCAGGGGGGGGCGGTCGCCCCCCCAACATTTTTGCACAGGGGGCAGGGCCCCCCCACTTTTCGACCGCATACTCTGAAATCAAATTTTGAAATAAAAAAAAATATAATCTGTGGTGATATTACATTTTGTGGCGTTGATTGTCCTTATCCAGCCGACACATCTTCATGAGTCAGGGAATTAACTGTGGGCACCTCTTACGCAGTGGTTCGCTGAACCGTGTTCAGCGAAAATCGAGAAGTGCTGTGGGGTCGTCTGCTCTGTTTCTAGCAGACGACAAAGCGAGGGTGTGCTCGCAGGCGCGAAGAACGAATCCGCCACATGGCGCATGCGCGAAGTTTCGGACGGCGCCTGCTATATTGCGCTGGGGGTATGGGACGGCCGCCGCTGTGCTGAGGCTCTCTGGACGCAACAATTCGAACAACAATGCAACAAACTGAGCAGAAGAAGGCTGACACACCTTCTTCTGCTCCACGTGCACAACAAGAGAGCTGCGGAACTGCAAATGGATACCGTTATGAGAGAGTTTGTGTGTAGAACGGCAGAACGAACCTCAACCTTTGGCCGCCTTTGAGAGCCTCCCCTGCCCTGTCCCTCCCGTGCCAGCCATGAAGCTCGTCTATCAACGCTAATAGCTTTGTAACTATAGTGTCTACTTTCTTGTTTATTGTAACATTTCTGGAGTTTCGCCCGTTCAAATTTACTTCACTGCAGGAGCGAATGCTGAAATATTAAAAAACATGTTTTTCCAGCTTTCGAACCCGTTTCATCATTTGCGCAGTCTGCGCAAGCATTCCTTGCTTCTGAAACTATCTTTAGTGTATACCAATGCAGAATAAACGAGGATACAAACATGTGAAATAAATACGAATAAATTTAAACAAAAAATAATAGACACGAATAAAATTATACCAATTAATAAAATAATAAAATAAAAAAAATATAAAATGGCCAAATATGAGAAATAAAAAGAAAACAAGACGTACAAAGCCGACAGACAAGATCAAGAAGCTTGCGGGTATAAATTGGTCGCAGTTAGCACAGGACAGGGTTAATTGGAGAGCTATGGGAGAAGTGTTTGCCCTGCAGTGGGCGTAGACAAGCTGATGATGATGATGATGATGAAAAATATGGCAGTACTTGCCTTCCCACTCCCAAAATAGTTCCGGAGTCCCTGCCTGTCGGGGTCTTTTGCCCGGCCGAGTGGCCCATTCACTGCGGTCACAGCCATTAATGGGTAGGTCTGTCGGGAGAGGGGGTCTTCAGGCGGCTCTGGAAGACACCGTGGAACGACGAGTCAGAGTCTGGGCCAAGAATTTGAGGGATGCAGTCTGCATAATAAGCTCCCCTTCCCGAGGCAGCCCAGCACGACTGGCATTCCTTGGGTTCAATTTTGTCCCCTGGTGAGAGCTAGAGCTCTCGGCCGCCGACTGGACATGCAGTCACAACTTTCTGCTCGGCGAGCTTTATTTACCAACGAGAAATTTTCACCTGTTTGCGAGTTCATGTTTGGGCATTATTTTGGTGAGAACATACCACCAACGCGCAGATAGCAAGAGGGGTCTCGCAGGTTCTGATGCGCTTGTTCCGAGTGCTTTTTTACCTGCTGGTGAATTTCGGCTCGTGTGTGGCAGGAGAACAACTTGAGATCTGAAAACGAAGCGTGGCTCATTTTCGCTTCAACGCAAAATAGCAGACGATCTCAGTTTCATCTCGTTTCTGATATCACTTTGCTGCGGCACGCAGTTCGTAGTAGATCAGGTGTTTTCTTGTTCCATTTTTAATCTATTAATGACACTAGCAGGCAAACCCCATCCTCTGCTCGTGTCAGCAGACACAGACGAGTCGTCTGCTAACAGGAGCAGAGGACGGGGTTTGTTCGCCGCGGAGTCGTCTGCTAACAGTGTCTCGACTTGCTCCACGACAGCCGAGTTAGATCTTGCTTTGTGACGACTTCTGTGCCTGGAACGCATCTTTGGACTGGTGCGTTTAGCACCCTATCCTCCCCATACGTCAAAAGTGATCGCAGAAGTCAGCGTGTCGTGCAGTCGAATGCCGCGACTCCAGCGGTCGACGCGAGAGGTCCCGGCAAAAGGTAAGAGCGAACGCGAGTCTCGCTGTCGTCGCGGTGCCCAAACTTCCGGCTGCCGAAGCTTCCGTGGACTGTCATCTAAAGAGCGACCTGCAGTAGAGCAGACGTCTGCCACATGCGCCGCCGTTGCCGGCTGTGGCGGGACACTTCTACGTCGTTGTCGGGCCAAAATCGGGAGGGCATTTTTGAGGGTGCGGTAAACGTACCAGTCGGAGACGCATGCCAGTCACCGTGGTAGGCAGTAAGACCGTCCCTCCCGGTGCAGGTACCTGCGCCTAGTGCGACGCCTGCAGCTGGAGTATCGGATGGAGCCGGCGGGCAGCCACGGGGTCTGGAGCCTGGACGACTACCAGTTCCTGCCCTTCATCTGGGGGAGCGCCCAGCTCGTGGGTGGGTCCTGCCGGGAGGTGCATGCGCAGTGCAGCCAGGCTTTGAAAGGCTCAAAGGGGCAGTTTAATGCGCAGTGGGTTTTATTGGCCGAGTTCAAAGAGAAAACCGTTGCAAAGAAACGTTGTGCTGGTTTCATCGTTAAATATAGCGGGTACTCAACGCCGTGCCTTAGGTGCTTTGATACGTCGCCGAAATTGCTTCCCAAATATTTTGGACTGCAGAGTATATGATTGTCTTATATTGATCAACAAATTTATCACCTGGTTTCTGGGGTTTATACTATATTGCGTATTTGTTTCCAGAAACAAAAACATATCTATGCACTTTCCTTAAAACATTAATAGAAATCAGTCTCGCCGGGGATGTTTTCATTACAATAACAGTATTGCAAAGACTTTGAGAACCGCTGCTTCCACGCCTTATAACTCTTCTACAGAACTAACAAACTGCTAACATGTAAACACACCAACATGACTCGGAGGCTTAGTGACTTGTGTAGAGACCAGGACAGAGTTGCCACGAGCAATCACTAACCGGCCTGTCCCGCATTTTATTCCAAAATGTAAAGCTCTCATCAAATGTGCTTCTACACCGGCGGTTCTCGAACAGGGCTCTACAGACCTCTTGGGGTTTCTGAAGGCTTTCTCGGGGTCCCAGAGCCCTCGACCGTCAGTCAAGCAGAGCAACTAACTGAACCACTGTTCTCTGTTTATGTCCAAGCTGAGAGTGTGGTGGAAACTAGAGGCTTGTTGGACTACCGTAAAATCCTGAGAGATAGCTCACCTAACATCAAGAGCAAATCGGCTGAAAATATAGAGTGAGCTAACTTTCCATGTACAATCAGAAAAGTTTAGAAAATTGCTATTTTTAAGTCGTGTCCCTTCCATCTTGTAATGGTGGCGAAGGGCAACGAAGCAAAGGTGACTGTACCTCCCAGTCGGCAATGTTCACTTGCATTCCGCCATAGCGAACTAGCTGCATTCACGCCGAGGCCATCATTGATCCCCTCACTACTATTACTAGGAGTGGGCAAGCTTTCGGTGTTCAATAAGATATAGAAAATAAAGCCGAAAATAGGGGGCAGGCTATCTTTCAAGGGTGGGGCGTCTCTCGGGGTTTTACTGTAGTCATACATCGGTCTTTTGTCACGTGATCACGCTCCTGCCCAGAGCTGGGGCATCTTTCGGGATTTTACAGTAGTCATACGTCGGTCTTTTGTCACATGATCGCGCTCCTGCCCCAGAGCCATGTGCAGAGAGAGCTGGGTCAGCTGATAAAAGCGAGGAGGTTGAGTTGTCCAGCAAGCACGTAGCTCTCACTGCAGTGTCAGCTTAGGGTGAATCGATGTAATGCGGTGAAAAAAACTCATCCGAGGAACCACTTTAGAAAAGGACGCTACCAAAAAAAAATTCTACAAATAATGTTGATTTTGAAAAATGCCATATTTACATCCGACATCTCGAGAGTACAGTTAAACCTCGATGTAACGAAGTCGGTAAAATTCGCAATGGACTTCTTCCAAAACCGACGCGCCCCACCGCGGCGAAATATCACGCAGTGCACTCTGGGAACTAGTTGGCCACTCAGTTTCGGTTTCGACTGAGCAGCTTCATCTCATGCTATCACGCCGCGACCGAACGCGCTGCTTGCGTTTTCGATTATCTGACTTTTGACGAATGTACACTACACTCATTCTCGAGCGATGCAAAACGAAGACCGGGGCACTTTCCTTGGTTCCCGAAACACCGGATATTGTGCGTGCGTATGCGAACGTAGTAAGTCGTGGCTTAGTCACCTCACCCCACAAGTGTATCTTTGAGCTCAATGTCAGTAATCCCGTCTAGTACCAGTGAACTACAACTAAAATTTGTTCGTCTGGAGCTTTACACGCATTTTGTTTGCCAAACGTCCGCTTCTTGTTACTTCATTGGGCGAAAAGTAAGCCGCATCCTCACTGGGTATCAAAGTTGAGGCCAGCGTTTACGCATGAACTTTTGAGGAAACGAAATAAATTCGACCTCACCACTGCACAAAAGTTACTATGATGTCTTTCTCGTGTCATCATATATCTCCCACTCAAATTTTATGCTGATAAAAGATTAACTTTTCGCAAACGCTGAGATCGGCTAGCTACGACGGAGGCCCTAAAAAGCATCCCCTACTCCTCGCTAAGCCTTTTTGGACGAGTTTTTACTGACGCCCGAGATCTGTGCCGGGAACGGTGTGTCTGAAATTATCTCGGCATACTCAGGCAGGAAGAAAGCAAACACATAACAAATATTATGGCCATTAGCAACCGTGAATGCGCTTTGAATTCGTTCGAGCACTTGTGTGAAGAATGTCGCACCGTGCGCCGGACGGGCATGAACCCCAATGCGGTGCGCATAGGGGTTCATGCCCGTCTGACGCACTTTCGGCGAACGGTGCGACATTCTTCACACAAGTGCTCGACTTTGCATTCTTAAAACGGTCTGTATGCGCGAATTTGCCTATATGATTGCAGGATAACTTTATGCGCATACGCGATGTTGAATATTAGTGGAATGCAAGCGGGTGGGGGCAAAAAGTAATATTTCGTCTATGGACGTACGAAGCAAACAAACTTCCTGATAAACAACACTAATGTAAAGGCGCGAGCTCTATATATGCATACTTATTGGTTGCTACAGCTTGTTGATTCGTACACAAGCAAGATCCCCGAGCAGCCGAGCTTCGCAGCGTCGAGACTCGCAGCACTGGCTCGTCCACATACCTCGATTGGAACGCTAACAGGAAGGCTCAAGTACAAAAATACAACAAGCATGTGTTAAGACAAGCTATACGTCTCGGGATTGTGCTAAAGCTTCGAGGTATGACCATTTAGGTTAGTTTAGAGACCACAAATGACGCTCTCGGGACCAGGAAACAATCTCTTGTCGACGTGTCGATCGAAACCGAAACCATGCCGCCCTCCTCCCTGGCCAACTAGTTCCCAGAGTGCAACGCGCGCCGTGTTGCATGCAGGGCTTTATGGAAGTAGTCTATTTACTTCGTTACATTGAAATTTCGCTAAATCGAAATTTAACTTTAGCATGCAAAAAAAAAAAAAAAAATCCGAAACATTTTACGGGTATGAAAACTCACCGAAAATGACATTTATTCAGGGGCAAAGTAGTCCGCGAGTTTTGCTTGCGCCTTATCCGACAGCAGCAGCGGCGTCATACCCGTCATACGGATACGGCCTTCGAGCGCCCCGAGCGCTTGCACGGCATCTTGCTGCCCGTGCGACGCCGTGTACCGCCTCAGTACGTCCATTGCGTCGAGCACTTCCCGAGTGCCCGTGATCTCGGCAGTTTCTTCAGGATGGCGTCCAAAACGTTTGCTTTCTCATACAAAGAAAGAACTTTACGTTTCTTTATGGCAGTAAGCACGTGAGTGAACCGCCCGGTTGAAAAATAAAGCTGTTTAGTTTAGGCGGTGCCAATGTTTCCAACCTACACAGCACTCTTGACCGCACAGTTTACTTGCCCCCTTGCGTCCACAGTGTGCTTGCGCCTTTGCTTTACTACAGCCACTACAGCTTTACATCACGGTCGTCACAGTCGCAAGACGATAATCGGTCTTCTCGGTCTTCTCCTAGATGACACTGCCCGTGCGGTCGCGCGCGCCATCACGTCGCTCCCCCGCTGAAGTTGGCTCCCGCGCTACCCGCGGTACAGTGGACTATGATGATCAGTGAATGTCAGTAGTGATGCTGTTATGCCGTGTTAACTTTTTGCTCGGCATTTTCTGGCCAGCCCCGCGGAATCCGCTTTGCCGCATGCATCGCCGGCGCTACCGGCGCCGCATCCTCGGGCAGCCTAGGAACGTTGGAAGGCCTGTCCCAGTGAAGTAACCTACCAAGCACTCGCGTTAGCGCATAATTTTTTTTTTTAACCACAATTTTTTTGCGAAGTTATTTTTTAGAGTCTATTTATTTATTGCCTTTTATGGCAATGGCGCTTCGTTATATTGAAATAGCAGCAATATAGACTTCGTTATATAGAGACTAAAAATACATGGGGTCTATGGCAAGAAATTATGAAAAATAAAATACTTCGTTAAATCGAGGATTTCGTTACATTGAAGTTTGTTATATCGAGGTTCGACTGTATTCCCAGAAAGTTTCATTTGTTTAGAGTGCATTTTCTCCAATCCATTTTTTGGCATAAATCTCACCTTAATAAAACTATTGTTTCAGTATGAAATTATTGAGGACTTAATATTTGCCAGCTTATATGGCAAAATTTTATGAAGCTGGTTGCTATGAATTTAGATTTTGCATTTGTATGTTCCTTTATTATGAAAAATTGTAATTTGCAAAACTTGGTACAGTGTAGATCGCATATTGTTATATCTGTGGCAGTGCTCGTGCCTTGACGTGCAGCGTGCGCGCGAGACTATCGCGTGAACTGACTGACTGCCTACCCGAGCGACAGCATGCAGCCGTGTTCTAACCGGGCTGATTTCTGTAACCCGTTTTTCTTGTAAATACACCACATTTATTGGCGACGAGGATGTTCGGGTCCACGGGTTGGATCATCGTCTGACTGCTGGGGGCTTGACTGGAGCCAAGGATTGTCCAGCCTCGGAATCCTGGAGCGGCCATCAAGCGGCAACCCCTCAGCGAAGACCATGAGTCGCATCTGGCACATCGAGTCTTTCGACGATACGACGAGCGACTGGCGCTCCTATGAAGAAAGACTGGCGTCATACCTCCTGGTAAACGAGGTTCCCGAAGGTAAGAAGGTCCATGCCTTCTTGAGTCTCATCGGTCCGAAGACGTACGCTTTGTTGAAGTCGCTTACGGCCCCGCAGTCACCGTCCGAAAAGTCGTTTACCGCGTTACTCAAGCTTCTGGGCGATCATCTTGCGCCGCAGCCATCCGTCATAGCGGAAAGGGCGAAGTTTTACAAGCGTTCGCAAGAAGAAAGTGAGTCCATCGCCGAATTTGTAGCGGTACTTCGAGATCTAGCACAGAG